GAGCCTCTGGCGTGTATCCCAGTTATGTATGCACAAATAAATAAATCTTTATAAAAAAAATTAACCTTGTTCCAAATAGTAAAAAGTTAGTTCCAGAATATTCTTTACCTTTCCTTCAATAATCCGATAAACTAAAGAATTCATGTCTTTTGCATTGAAAGCATGCTTAAGGGTGGCCATTTCATAAACACAGCATCCCAGGGCCCAAACATCAGACTAGAAAAGAAAAAAAGCAAATGATCAAATGCTGACATGCCTTGTTTACATTTTCCCCATTTTATAAAAGGGCATTTTCCTTAAACCAATTCACAGATAACTCTTCCAACTTACTGTTCTCATGGGTTCAGATATTATGAATACTGTCCTAGAAATAAGGTGAGCTGACAGACACAGCTCAGTCTTACCTTATAGTTGTAAGGTTTGTTTGAGAACAATTCAGGACTCATGTAGTAGGGTGTGCCAATGAGGGTGCTAGCCATGTCACAGTGGTTCTCTAACACTCGAGCGATTCCCAGGTCACCCACCTTGATGATGTTTGTTCTTGTTAAGAAAACATTTTGAGTTTTCAGATCTCTGTGAAGGATATGCTTTTCATGTAAATACTGAGAAAAGAAATAAAATTTCGTAAAATACAAATTTACTTATCTATTTATTCTTGGCTTCTTATACATCCTCAATAACTGCATAAGTAAAAGAGTCATAGTTACCTACCTACATATCAAAATATTATTGTTTCATAATCACTATCATTTCATAAAAAAAATCTATGTACAATTTTCCAAAATAAGAAAATTAAGTTCCAGGTCCAGTTCCTTTTTAATTGTTCCCTGGTAACTTGACATTATTTCACTTAGCGTTAATTAGATCTAGTTAAAAATATGCTTACATACTGCCACTATAGATATAAAGACAACTTTTATATGGTCAGGGGCACATTCCTCTCAGAATCATGAACTCTTTAGCTTAATATTTTCAAATATAGCAAGATGACTTTCATTTGGAGAAAATATCTTCAAATTTAAGCAAGGCCAATTTATTCAGGATAAATCTGCCCAGTTCCAGAGTGGTATTTCATAACCAGTCCCACTTTTCGATGTGTATGTTAAAACATAACCATACTTTGATGTCTACTCACTCTGCTACAGCAGGGTTAAAGCCCAAGTCCCCCACAGTTTAAGCATATTAATTAAACTAGTCACTTTGAAATATGACAGAACAGACCAACTGGAAACAAACATGGCCATTCTTTGCTTTTTGACATCTTGGGGCCCTTAAAATTGACTTGCTATGAACAGAGAACTGACTTTCCCCAGCAATATGACACAAAATTCAAATCTACTTCAATGGAAATATCATTCAATCAAACACTCCAATGCTCACTCCAGGTCACTTCATAAATGAACTTCTAAAAAATACCACATTTTCTCATGTAACAGCTTGAAGGATTTCCTAAAATCTACTTGCCATCCTCCCTGCCACCTTGGAGCAAGTAGGATGCGACAAGTTTGGACAGTACCTGCAGAGCCATTGCGATCTGAACAAACCACTCCACCACCCGACGCTCAGGAAGAAGCCGCCCTTTCTGCTCCTTGAGCTTTCTGTACAGATCACCTCCTTCACAGAAGCCCATGACAATGTACAGCAGACCATCCCCTCCTTCCCATGACTCCTTATAGGTGACAATGTTGGGGTGCTTCAGCTGAGACAAAAGTTGAGCTTCTTGTTCAGCAGCTCTCCTCTCCCGGCTGGAAGCATTTCGGAGGTTTAGTTTTTTGATGACATACTACAAAGAAAATACATGTTGTTGACAATGTGCAGATAAACATAATTTTGGAGGTTCAAAAGTATTTAAGCATTTTCCTGAGTGTGCTCAAAACAAACCTTCTGGTTCCTGACAGAACCTATTCACTATGTTTGTCACAAAGCACAAAATTGAAAATAAAGTTACTATCGCTAAAGATAGATTTTACAAGCTCAAATTACAATAGAGCAGAGGGGGTCACCAAAAATTACACTTTCTATCTGCATTTTACAATCTCATTAATCTGTATTTACATCTTACTATGCCTAAGAAATTACTTATTTACTTATTTACATTTCACTGGATCAGTGGATAGAGATTCTGTAACTGCCAAGTTCTCCCTACAAAGGTGCGTGAATATGACTTAAGTATACACCAGCAGAAAGAGTGGGTCCACGGACTGTGTTAAATAAAGGATCCAAAGCCTGAAAAAGGTTTAAAATTAGTGATCCTCGGTCCTCCCTGGTGGCACAGCGGGTTAAAGCACTGCACTGAGAAGCTTAAGTCACTTCTGCATGAGTTCGATTCCCCCCTGCCCGGGAGGTGACCACATGGCGTGGCAGACCTCTCCTGACCCGCCCGCTGCTCCCCTCGGCAGTGTACTTCGCCAATCTGCCTGTTCTGCTCCCCACTACTGTCTCTGGTGAAGCCTCTCACTGCCCCTGAGCCTCTAGCCTGTACCCCAGTTCTGTATACACAAATAAATCTTAAAAAAAAAAAATGCAGTATCCTTTAATACCTAAAACATTGTCCTCAATTAACTGAAGACCAACACAACTCATTTACTCAACAAAAACACCCACAACTGTATGTGTGTAAAATTAAATAAACTAATCAAATATGAGAGGCTATTATTACAGCCTGTACCCAGCTTCATCTCAAAAAAATCCAGTGACACCTACAGTGCCCAATGAATAAACCTCTTATGCCTGAGCTTTCTGAACCAGGCAGAGTGACCTGCACTTGACACAAGACAGAAAAACGAGGGCCTTATATTTAGAGGGGCGTCTCCTCTCAGCTTGTCTGGGGCAGTCCCAACATCATGGTATAGTTACTACTACCAGTGCCTCTGTTTAGTTTCAAAATGGTCCCAGTTTGTACAGTCCATTACATGGTCACCCTATTTATAAACCACATGAAAGAACTGGCTCGTGATCCCAAGGGTAATGGGATAAAGTGCGTAAGCAAAGGAGCGACCACATTAGGTGTTAAGTTTAGAAAGCTCACTAAGATGGCAATGAAAGTGATGGACTGGAGAAGAGCAAGTCATGGGACCAGTGGGAAGCCATGGCCATAACTTAGAGCTAATGATGTCCTGGGTTGGGGTGATACCAACGGAGTCAGACAGATTGGCCTAGTGGACAGATGAATAAAGGTGTGGGGGTCGGGGCCATTGTGTTGTGTGTCTGTCAGAAGGACTCTCATGTATCCACCTTGGCTTCTGGCTAGAATGTTGCTATTCATTGAAATGGAAGTGATGAGAGGAGGTTTCATGGAAAGAGGAGTTGTGAAAGTAGGTAGGAGCCCAGTCGTCTCCAGATCAGGATCTCCCAGAAGATGCTAACTCCTGGGAATGCAAGATCTCACCAAACTGTCAAGAGCTGTGGAGGTCAGGTAAACCAATTTAGAGTACAAAGGAGAAGCACCGGGTCTGGGGGCATATTACTAGGAAGCCTGGCCTCGTCTTGGGTCGTGGTGTGGGGGAATTTCCCTGACAAAGTGCCGTCGAGGCGAGTCTCCACCACACCATGTCCCCCAGTCTTTGGACGGTTTCTAGGCGAACCCCGGCCTGCCCTCCGCCCCGGCCGGCCCCGCCCCAACCGCGCGGACCTGCCTGCCGTCCCGCCGGTGCCTCACGAGCGTCACCTCCCCGTAGCTGCCCCTGCCCACGGCCCGCAGGTGACAGTAGGCAGCCAGGGGCATGTTCCCGGCGCGGGCCCACAGCACGGATTCAGCGGCAGCAGCGAGCAGAGCGGAGGGCGGCGGCGGGAGCCCCGGTTCATGCCCGAGAGAGGCTGTGGCGACCTAGGCTGCCTAGGCGGCCGGGCTCCCGCGCAGCGCAGAGGCCGAGCTCAGGGCGACGCCGCTGCCATAGAGATCCAGGTCGTCGCAGCCCTGCGCATGCCCCGGCGGCCTGGAGGCTTCACCACAGAGCCAGGGCGCCAACAGGCCAGAGCGGCCATCCCTCGGAGGACTCGCCATAGAGCCTAGGCGCTAAGCGGCTAGAGAGACTCTGCTGTCTTTGTGAGCCCACTTTTTGTGTTGGTTCCACCGCGAGGGACTTACGGGTTGCGTTGGAAGCTTCCACTTTTTTTTTTTTTTAATAATTTATTTATTTATGCCTATAGAACTAGGTACAGGGTGAGAGGGACGGTGAGAGGATTCACCATGTGGGACTCGTGCTTCAGTGACTGCAGATAGCCTCTTAGTGCTTTGCTTCAACCCGTTGCTTCAGCAGGGAGGGGTTTCCTTACTCTTAAACTCCCCTAAAATCACTTGGCCCCATCTGCCCCAAAGACAGTTTCCTGAGAAATGACTCAAATTCCCAAGTTTTTTGTTTGTTTGTTTGTTTTGTTTTCATTTAACCTGCTTACCTCAGCAGCATTTGCCCCTCTGGGGAATCCTCTTCTTGGTTTAGAAATTAATTGGTTCTCCTGCTCCCCTGTTCTCTCCCTCTCTCTTTTTTAATAATAGTTTATTTTTACATCGTTTTGTGCCTTTTTCCATCTCAGTTGTAATCCCCGCGGGCTTCCCAACACCAATTCAGCCATGTGCCATCACCATAGTTCAGTGCACTCTTCCCCGCCCCCCCATTTTAAAAAATTTTATAATAGTTTATTTTTACATATTTTTGTGCATTTTTCCATCTCAGTTAAAATCCCCTTGGGTTTTCATCACCAAATCACCCATGTGCCATCACCATAGTCCAGTGCATTTCCCTCCCCCCACTGTTTTTGATCCTCACTCCACCCTGGTAAAATGTCTCTGGTATATAGTTGTTCATTATTATATTTTCCCTCTGGTCCGTTATACTCCTGCTATGAGTGAAACCATCCAGCATTTTTCCTTTTCTTTCTGGCTTATTTCACTAAGCATGATCTTTTCCAGCTCCATTCATGTTGCTGCAAAAGGCATGAGTTTATCCTTTTTGATGGCTGAGTAATATTCCATTGTGTATATGTACCACATCTTTTTAATCCAGTCATCTACTTTTGGGCATTTGGGTTGATTCCATGTCTTTCCTATTGCAAATAAAGCAGCAGTAAACATTCCTCTGTTTTAACTTCTTCTGCTCCCCTAGGTTTTAGGTCTCCCAAGGTTTTGGCTCCATCCTCTGTGATTTGTGCCCCCCAACCGACTCATCATCAAATTTGTCATTGACTCTACAGATATTTTGCATGGGCCATGGTGCAAGGCAAATGTCCTCTCCTGGAGGCACAAAGTGAATAGGTTACACAAGGCTACCCCTGTGGAGCTTATAGTCAAAGAGGGAAATGACAATTAATTAATTGAACATGCTAATGCTTTATCTTTACCAATTCGGATCAATGCTGTACAGAAAGTTCACAGATCCTATCTTGGCATCCAAGGGAGATTTTGCCAAACAAGTATTTCTTGGACTGAAGTTTGAAGGAAAACTTTTTTCCTACAGAGGGAGCACCACATTATAAGGACCAATGACCCTACTCTACGTTTGTTTCAGTGTGAATTCCCTGCCTGCTTCAGTACTCCAAATTCAGTATTGGTGTGGCAGCAAGTATAAGTGGGTGAACTGGGGTTTGACAAACGAATGAATGAAAAAGCACCTGGAAAAAGGAGGGGGTAGGGCATAGCCCTTATTGGTGAGATGGAGGAGTCAACAGTAGATTCCTAGGAGCAGAGTTGAAGCAGGAAGAAGCCATTCAGATGAACAATGATGACGATTAAATTCAGTGGTAACTGAAAATCTGGAGAGAGAAAGGAATGAATTAGAAAGACATTCAGAGGTTTGGAGAAGGTATGGGGTGGAGGAAGCAGGACATTCAGGATGGGCATATCAGACTGAGACTCCAAGCCAATCAAGCAGGCGGTCATCTATGTGGGCAGAGCTTAGGGCAGATGTGAGCCTGTGTGCTGCCCCTTTGCAAGGCAGCACAACCACCATCTCATGACTCACCAGCGACAATCCTAAGCAACCCCAGCTGCTTCTGTCCACCCATGCCCCCAACTCTGACATCCTCTATAACATGGAAACAATAATATCCATCTCCTGGGGGAAGTATAAGCAGTGAATGCATAAGCAATAAAGAATGTAGGGCCCTTCCTGATGGCACAGCAGTTTAAAGCACAACACTAAGAATCAAAAGCCACTTTCTCATGAGTTCGATCCCCACCTGCCCCGGAGGTGACCACATGGCACAGCAGACCTCTCCTGACCTGCCCACTGCTCCTCTCAGCAGTGTACTTCATCAGTCTGCCTGTTCTGCTCCCCACTGTCTCTGGTGAATACTCTTGCCACCTCTGCACCTCTGGCCTGTACCCCTGTTCTGTATGCACAAATAAATAAATCTTAAAAAAAAAAAGAAAAATAATGAACAACCATATACCAGAGACATTTTGTG